GTCCCTGCCCACGGCAGGGGGTGGGAACTAGATGATGTTGAAGGTCCTTTCCAGCCCAAACCATTCTGTGATTCTAAACTGCTGTTTGAGCCCTGCATGTTATTTGAAGGATCCTCAACCGTCTACTTTTTTATTTTCTATGCATATTTTGCAAGTTAGGTTTGGATAAATATGCAGTTTTGTGCGTTGTTGCTCTGGGAGCTTAATGAGGAAGTGAAAGGTGCTTTGTGCTTTCTTCAAAGGAAAGCTTAACATCAGTACTGACACCGTTCAACATGGGGTGGAAGGACTAACATATCTTCTCACCGAGAGCTCCAAGCTCATGGTAAGGACACCTTTGTGTAATGAGTTCAGGGAGATGCTCAAGAATTCTGAAAATACTGATGAATGGGGAAAGCCTAGTTCAAAAGTCTGATGATGCATGTTCTTTTAATTAAAAAAAAAAAAAGTGTCTCATGCTGTTCTCTTACTTAAACTCTGCGTCGGCATGTATGACTGGAGTGTGTATTCAGTGCCTGAAGCTAAAACTTGACAACATTTTAACAGCATATAGCGAGAACATGCAATAATTTAGTCTTCAGGTTAAGCTCTGACTAACTAACTAAAAAAAACTTGAGGAAAGATTTTGTTGTTGTTCAGCTACTGTAGGGGATGTGTGCTGCACTAACCACCTGCTCAGTATTCCTGATGTTTGATATGGTAGGTTTTGAGAGCTTTTTCAGCTCCTTACAGTTCTCCTAGCTGTAGAATTGTCCTCATATATTGCTGGAAGAAAATAACTGCACCATAACATGTGTAATGTTCACCTACAGTTTTATTTGTTTCTTAACAAATAACGATTATTCTACAGTTCTGTATTAAGGCCTGAATTGTTATTTCTAGATTTCTGAGATAGACTTCCAAGATTCCATTCATGTTCTGGGATTCTCAGAAGAATTTAACAAATTATTACTCCAGCTGTACCTTGATAACAGGAAGGAGATCAGGAGCGTTCTTGGTGAGCTGGCACCAAAGCTTCCCAGCTACCAGAGTCTTGAATGGAGACTGGATGTACAGGTAACTTCTCAAAAGTTTTCAGTATTCTGTATTTTGCTTTACCTTTTTTTTTTTTAACATCACAAACAACCACTGAAAATTAATTTATATTACTTCAAAGCAATTGAGGCAGCGGTTTTTCCTGTATTTAAAACTGATATAATTTTGTTATTGCACCAAAGATAGCTGGTTATAAGATGAACAGGATACGTAATGATGCAAAATATTTGTTGCTTTATGCAAATTGAATTCATAGCTCCATTGGTATTTTAAAAATGATTGCATATAATAAATATATTTGGTCTTAATTATTAGTTAATTTTCAGAAATATTATGAAAGCATTGATTAAAGTGGATTAGTATTGCTTAAATGATAAAACTAAATAATAAATTGCATATTATCGTTGATGTTGATGAAAAGGGTTTTTAAACCCTCCTGTAAGCAGGTCCTGCAAGCCTGCTGTGAATTGTAAACGTGAAAGTTGATAATGATCTGGTTTTGTTTGCTTCCCTGTTCCCATTTCATCTGCACTCCCTCACACAGCTTGCAAGCAGAAGTTTGAGACAACAGATTAAGCCTGCTGTGACCATAAAGCTACATCTTAATCGGAATGAAGATAAAACTGCCCAAGTGTTGCAAACCGACCCTTCTACCCTCCTGCACCTGATTCAGGAGCTGGACCAAGCTCTGGGGGAAATGAAAACAAACCATTGCAGGAGAATAGTGCGCAATATGAAATAGTATTGATCCGCGGCTGTTATTAACAACTAAAAACATGTTCACAAATGTGTTGTAAGGAAAAATAAACATCTGGATCAGATGAAATGCTTTCCTGTGCCAGGACCTTGAGGCAGGAATTGCAGGCTGCCTGTCCTCTGGTGTTGACTTTGCACACCTGCCTGATACGAGATAGGTCGCTGGTTTTGCTTTCGTTGCAAATGTGGAAGTTCAGCACGCTGTGCTGATGATCTCTTTATCTCTAAATTAGCATAGCTCTACTTGAAGAGCTTCCCTTTGTTAAGTGGAGCTGTCTCAATATTATACAAAGCTGCACATTTTTTTTTACATTTATCAAACTTTTTCCCTTGGGTTTGCTTCTGGTTTGAGACTTTTTAAAAACCCTGTACTGGTGGGAATGATGCTTCACGGGAGCGTTTCTTCTACGTAGACTTGTGTATGTGCATGTGGGACTGCTGCCCTCTTGCTCCAGAGGATTTAGTCAGCTCGCAGGTGGGGCGTTACACTGCTTTTCTACCCTTCTTACACAGCGAAAGAAGGTGTAATGAGGTGAACGCTTCATTTTAATGAAGCGAGGTTCATGCTTTCTGCAGGTAGCACTTGCCATAGAAAGCCCAGTGGCCTAAATATAAGTTATTGTACTCATTATTTCTGTATGTAAAGGTGATCTGAAAAATCGCAAAAGTAAAACCATGGGCCAGGAGGCAGATTAAGAATAGTGTTAACTTCTAAATCTGATCTCCATGGTGTGATGAAACAATTTTTGAACACTATTTGGGCAGTGTGCTCATAAAGGAAGGACAGTAACCCAGTACTGCAAGGTAAATTATGCTTGTCTGTTTTTAAGAAAAATGTCTAACAAGGGTTATGTCAGAAGTCACTTTCCAGTTGTATTCTAATACTGTAGTTTGTAGCTTTTGTGACTGTGGTTAAATAATATTTTACTGTCACGGTGAGGGTACATCATAAAGCCCCTGAAGTGTAGTGGAGAGGACAGATAGGCAAGAGAGAACCTTAACATACAGATTCTGGCAGTAACTGTGCATCTCCTGTCTTTCATAGCAGCATGATAAATTTCTATATTAATTTGGTTCCTACGTTCACAAGTGCATTATTTTATTCTGAATTGTTGCACCTCTGAGAGGTGCTATTTCAAATGAAACCTGCAAGGCAGACGTGCTTTAATCAGTAACACTACCCCTTGAAAAAGCCAGTTTTCTAGAATGTGGAGCTGCTTACTCTGCAGTTGCTTCATGTAGCGTGACAGTGGTGTGAACAAACTTCATCTCCTCCTGTATGGGAATCTGCAATGTGTGTCGGTTACCATCCCTATGTGGCAGCTTTTTTCATAGAATCAGGATTTTGTCCACATACAGTATGTGGTAATTAAATGTGATAAAATGTTACGTCTTTGGGTTTCTGGTTAGGTGTTTTTATGTCGTTGGCCTACACCTTCAGGTGAAATACAAGAACAGCTGATGGGTGGGCCAGTGTTTTCTCTTTATTCCTTCTCTCCTCACTGTAGCCATAGTCTAGAACTTACGGCAGCAAAATACAAGTTTTAGATACAAGTCCTGGAAGCTTTTCATGTCTCACCTCACCACTGCCTTACGAATCTGAACACATTTACTCTTCTGTCTCTTAAACTTTCTTAAAAAGAAAACGAGCTGCTGCGGAGCTGGTCAGCGTCACAGTAGATGCTGGCAGTTTCCGCGTGCGTGGTGTCTGGAAGCATGTGCTAGAGGAGGGGAGGGTTTCCCTCAGTGAGTGGAACAGCTCAGCGGGGGTTTTGTGAGTACAGAATGCATCAGAAAGCTTTCTGTTCATTCGGAAGCTTGTTACAGTGGTGTAGCAGTGAAAGCTGCGACACGGAGTGGTCGTGTTTCCTCTACCAAAAAATGACCCAAACGGAGGATGGTCAAAACTCAGAAGCTGGGAAAAATTTAGAGAAACTCAAACTCTGGCAGTGATCCCTGAATAAACTCAGAACAGTGAGGAGTGAGATCCGCTGTACCAGGACATTGCTTTTGAACTGTGCCTTTCAGTGTCTTCCTGGGAGGAGTGCTGAGCCGGGAGAAGCAGCTTCTCCGCAGCTGGTGATTTTCAAGGTCAACGTGTCTGCGGGTGAGGGTGGGATGGGTCTTCACCACTCTGCCGCTCCCCTTTCCCTGGCAGCACCTGGGGGCTGCAGCGACAGCCGTGCGGATGCACAGAGAGCAGAACCGTACCTCAAACACGGTGATCAGTGCCAGGGCATGGCGAAGGCTGCGGCTGCTGGTGTCCCCAACGCTGGAATTACCGTACGTGCAGAGCTGCTGGTTTGTGGGGCAGCTGGAGAGTGAAGAAGCACCGACTGCAGTGACCCCTTGGTAGGGTACAGTAACAATTCCCTTGGGGATCCGTTTCCAGTTTTAATGTAAACTCTGTCCAAAATTAAAGGTGACGCATCAAGCTGCCTCAGTGTAATTTGTTTTCTCTCAAGAATTTGCAATTGCTTTATAAAAACCCTTGCACAAGACATGGAGAGCACAAAGCATTATTCACAAGCTATTAAAATGTAATGTTGCCACTTTTAACCCATTTTATTTTTCATAGGCTTTTTACAATTTTCTCTGGTATCTAGCCACTACAAGTTGAATTTGAGGCCCTTTCTCTACTATTTTTTTTCAAGTCTGGAAGAATTGATTGTTGATTTTATGACAGAAAAAACTGACTTTCAACTTACCTTTTGAACGTTAAGTAACTTTTTTTCAAAGTGACTGAGCAAATTTGATTTGTAGCCAGTGCAGCATTTTCATCCTGAAGCAAAATTCTGAATAACCTATAAGGAAGTTGAGTGTGTTGCTATTTCATCTTTAGAAATCTGTTAAGTATGGAATGTAATGTGTTGCCCTCAGTGCACAACTTTTGTATGTTTTGTTTTTAACTTTGTTCTGCAGACCTGCTCTGCCTGTGTATGACAGGAACTCCTGGTTTTATGCAGTGAGGAACGTGCGAGCAGCTCCCTGGCACCTTTTGATATACCCCTGAATTCAGGTGAACCTCATGCCAGTGCAGAGAACAACTGACAATCCAACAGTTCAAGCATAAACCAGATTATTTTCTTAAAGCAGAGTTAGGCTCAGCCCTGAGCAATGTGATGCTCAGCAGATCTGTATCCTGGTCTGAACAGCAGAGGGCAGAAAGTTTGGGGTTTTTATCATTACAAAGGAGAAGTTTTGCTGTACAATCATTTTCAGTGCTTGTCTTCCAGTAAGAATTATTCATAGTCTCAAGGCTCAACGTGGGATGTATTTCACCTCATATTTTCCAAATTTGTGATGAATTTTCAGCTGGAAACAATAAAACTTCCAGTTTTCAACCACTGTAAAACAGAGTTTCTTGAATCTGATAATTATAATTTGCTAAGCCCCTTAGTAAAGAACACAATATAACCCAATTTTTAAAACTCAGGATGACATAATGTGGCGTTGTAAAATGTCTGTATTCTTTACACATTGAGTAAACTCGAGAGGCAATGCTTTTCTTAGTCCTGCCTTTTAAAATCCTTTTGACTGGACTCTGTATGATCACTCTTGTTTTGTAAATCTATTGGTTATGTTTCCGATTCCAATTTGAATCAATTCCCTATCTCTGGAGCACATTCCAGACTCTTCTACAAGCTTTATTTTCTTGTACTTTTGCTTGTCCCTGCCAATCTTTCTTTCAAGCTTTTAATGTACTAAATACTTTCTCACCTTTTAACTGGGTTTTTAATTAATTAATGTTTCTTGAATTGTATGGGGAAAACTTTTCATTTAAACAGCTGTGGAGCTAGTTCAGATATACACAGATGTAAATAAGATCAGGATCTGAACGTTGGATTAGGCCAACAGCTTTCACAGAATCACAGAATCACAG